GTCTCGAATAGTTTACTTTTTACTAACGACCTCAAGTTGCAGCCAGCTACCAAAGCGCTAGATGATCACATGCACTTTAAAGCCGATCTTGATATGGTCTAGGAATCGTTAGTCCTGAACTTTTTTGCAGTTCAACCTATCTAATTATTGAGTTTACCACTTTGGACACCAAGTGGTTTGCCTTTGTAAACTGTAGTGTTCAGAATCTACAGGAAGCTTGGTGTGAGAGGGACATAGATGTGGATTCAGGGAGACCTCGGCTGCTTGGGATAACGAGGTGCACTCAAAATGTCTGGGAGTATTCGGACGCTTCGGCTAGTTGATCTGCTGCGAATGTGTACTTTCAGGTGAAATATGCGCTCCAAGTCTGGTAGCAGAAACGAGATCAAACGGCTTATGGAATTCTGCAACATAAGATAGCCAGAAATGCCAAAGACCTTTATCAATTACCATGAAAACATACTGGGCGTGACAGTGGTCTTTAGTAGTTAGTATCGACGTTTGCTGGTTGGTTCTACCATGGTTTACCATATTTTAAGCACACATACGTTCGCGTACCACTGACCGCTTAGGCTTAATCACATCCGTGTGATGCAATCATTTGTGCTGCCGTCAGAACTCCTTTTCTCTACATGTTTTACAAACCGGAAACACACCCCGGGAATTCGCTATTTTTGTCCCCACAATGACATCGTTCAAAATCCGAGTCGACAGTGCGCTTAGCTCCTCATAACTTCATGCACATCAGAAATGAAAAAACTTTAACACACGCGCTTAGTTAGGGATGCCGAAGGTGATGACCAGGTTACACAAAACGATCTACGAAAGATCAAAGTGAACGGTAATTTAGTCGACAATTTCACAGTTATTTGCTGTTCTTGGTTTCCATTTTAAGCGCATCCAATTACTCATCTGGTAGAAAGTGCAGCAGTTGAGTTTTTTATCCGTAACATACAACTGATCGTTGACTACACCTGGTTACAGGTGGGAAGGTGATCCTGGATGATCCGATGTGTTGCGCCTCCATTGTGTTAGTTTACCTCTCATTTTTATGCACTAATCCCTCTTTGCGCTCTATGGAATCCGTGCTTCATGGTTCCCAAGTACTGCATCTGTCAGCTAAACGAGTCGACGGAATATTGTGTGTTCGTCTTCATTGCTGACCCAAACATACGATCAAGCCTGCATTGGCAATTCTCACACACTTTGGCTTAAACAAATGTGCACGCCCAGAGCAATTATGTGGTTGTATTGATAGCCAGCTTGGACATATCTACGTTGCATTTCCTATGAGTTACTTTTAACTCACACCATCGGGACTTGTACCAATATCGTCATTTTTACGCACATGGAACCCACATGATAGGAATGCACCAGTCTATCGCAAGTTCACATGTCATTACTGTGGCATCCACTTCTATTTCTCTGTCACATTCACAAATTGAACGTACACCTACCTTGGCCGGTTCCTTCTTCACCGTTGTTGAAGCACTTGCCACACGAAGAAATTGTTCCCGTCGTTCTTTCGCGCTGATCCCGGAAGGCAACTCTCTTTTATCCTCTCCGTGGCGAATGATGTTTTCCAGCGTCTCCGGCTCATTTTCATACACTCCACCATAGCCCTGATAGGAGTAGTAGGGAATGTATATTTATGTTTATTTAACACGGCTAACGCACCACAACACATGAGTAACAACAACACAAAGGACGAAAAGAGCCAGTCAGGGAAAAAGCTACGTGAGTTGCATGTGTTGCGTGAGTATTGAGCTTTCTGGTTGCCCAGGCCGAAGAAGAACGTTGACTTAAGAGACCCCACCTCGAACCTTTGGTCATAAAGACCTGACACGCAAGGCAGCGGGGCGATTCACGCATGTTGTTACATACGAAGATTGTTGACAGACAGGTGGATCATTGGCCTACTTTATGTTCTGTAGCAGTCCACAGGGAAGCCAGTGGCCAGCTGGGTTTCACATTCACCCTCCGCTAAGTACTCACCTCTGGTTATTGAAGTGAGTGCTCAGTGACCCCATAACCAGTCATATTGGCTTTGACACAGCACCGTACAAACTCTTGTGATATTTGGCAGAGAATCAGGTGACCAACCCATAACCCCCACGCTCTGAGACGCTGCCGCTTATTGTCCGCAACTGCTTATTCATCTTGCCTGCAAAGCAAACGTGACTTATCCGCAGTTACCTCTACAAGGTAGGTATTCTCCATTTCGTAACCTGGAGTCGCACCCGATAGCGCACAACTCTATCGAATGAAACTATGCCCTATCCATAGGAGAAGAGACGGGCGTCACAACTTAACATTGAACTTGCCCTCTACAGACTATGTGCGTCAACTCGGGCTTAACTCTCATGCGGCAATAACGATGGGTGGACTTACCTCACTGGCAACCCCCTCTGCACCAACAAACGATTGCGTGCTCACTTCGCTCTCAAGCCTAGTGGCGTTTACATTCACTATAGTATCCTTTCCTATGAGCCCTAATGCAGGCCGCTAATTTTGTGCTACCTCTCTTTCGTCCATACTTTTAACACGAGACCTGTTATGCACGTCAACACCCTACCTACTCTGGGATAGCAGCCCATCCGCAATGAGCAGCATCCGGTGTGAGCAGGTTGTCCACTTGTGTAGTTCATTGATCTAGCCGTGGAAAAACAGCCGTTTATAAGTGGGCCATTTCTGATCAAAATTGGGAATGGTTTATTGCAAACGTCCAGAAAACGCTAGACGACCGTTTCGTCCCATTCTAACTCGTCAACCACATGCACCCACAGTCGCACTAGGAGCCGAATTCATGACCTCTCTGCACCAGCATCTTATGCTCTTAGACCAGGGGGTGATTACCCCCAAAGGGGTAAAATGGGATTTCACGGTGGTAAAGTTAAGTACAAGAATTGGATCATCGCTAGTTCACGAAACAAAACTATTAACAGGTTCATTTGTATCAAATCATCTCAATAACCCCCATTATTAATGACTAGTCATTAGTAACAAATCATTAGTGATTGCTTGGTGAATTCACTTTTTTTATGTAATAAACCAAGAAAAGAAACCGATTTAGCTTGGAGCACGTCTGGCGATATTCAATAGCCGAAACAGCGCCAAATGTTATAGAAATTATTAAAACTAAGACACCAATCTTATCTCTTGATTCAAAGTGATTAAAAACTTACCTTTTTTAAGCAGAAAATGCAGCCCCTTTTTTAATTAAACTTTCTTGTGTATTTGTTTATACTGAACCCGTTTTGTGGGTAATAGCCTCAGAAACGTTGGGAACCACTTCATTCGAAGACCATGGGCGACGGCGACAGATCTTCATGACTAAAGCAAGGGAACGACTACTCAGCGGCTGCGACATGTGATCCGGTGCTAAGATGTGATTCGTCGTGGTTCAACTTAATGTCTCCTCTGTTAACTGCGGGGTTATTTGATACATTCAGTCTCAATTCGGACCTCGGTTCGTAAGCGACAAAATCGCTTAGGGGCTTGAGTGACACGTAAAAACTTCAGGTCCAAGCAAGAAAGAAAGCCGAGACGTCAACTACCCTACTATTCAAATATTAATCAAAATACAACATATACATACCTCAGCAACTACCTGATCAGTTCCAAAACAATCAGCCTTCACAATGTCCAAAAGGAATGCAAACGGTACTTGCCACCGTACATAAAGAGTCACACGATACCGGGTCCACGATCCGACTATGAGCTTTCTTTTATTAGGTCCGTTAACCCTTGGTTCATTGGTTCGCTATACCGTGTGGGAAACGGAACGCGATGGGCTGGGCTGTAGGGATGGCTTGGCTTAGTCAAACAGTGGGGGGTGGGAGGAACATGGAGGTACCTACCCCTGGGGCGGGAGGATGATTCAAGTCCGAGGCGTGTGTAGGTGGGGTGGTCTGGACGGATTGCAGTGTGAGTGAACGGTCTCCACAGGGAGAGGTGAAGTCATGACAACATCGAGATGAGTTCACATGGAGGATAATCGGTAAGCTGGCGCTCATCAACTGGGTCAGACGTCTGCTTTGGTCATCCAGACTGAAATCCCGACATGCAGCTCGCTAATTACATAATAGTTTTGTCGGTTGGCATGTAACCATGGCACATAAATTGGGTGAGCCGATAGGTGGTAAGAGTTAAGAATTAAATCATGTTATTCATCTTGTGAGTTATATAACACTTATGTCGGCATGCTGGGAAACCAAAGTTACGTTACCAGGACATGATTAAAGTGAGACTCACACGTTCTAATCTTGATTGCAGGTCATGGGAATCGAAGGCGGTTGATCGTGGTGCATGGCGCGATCTAATCACGAAGGCAGTTGCTGAAGTGCTGGAGAAAGCCCTCATGCATGCAGAGAAGAAGCGGCAAGCACCAATGAATTGTACTCCATCGACATCGAGCGCATGGTGCTGTAGAACATGTGGTCGCGAGTGACTTAGTCAGGCAGGCCTAGTGAGCCATGAGAGAGGTCACACGGGACCACTGCCGAAGCGACGACGGGTCCCGCAGTGAACGTAGGCAGCACCGGCGCAGCGTTTGTAGGCACGCTGAATTCGATTTACTAACCGCATGCTTGCATGCTAAGTCTCTATTTCAGGTGGTGGGTTTCGGTTCTGTCCTAATGCCTTTCTTTCTCATATAAATGTCTATAGTGGGCCATGAGCTATGCCATTAGGGGCCACTACAGAAGCGACGACGGGTCCTGCAGAGAATTGCGGCGAGACGGCGCAGCGTTTGTAGGCACGCTGAATTCGATTTACTAACCGCGTGCTTGCATGCTAAGTCTCTTTATTTTAGGTGGTGTGTTTTCAATTTTGTCCCAATGCTTTTCTTTCTCATATAAATATCTCCCTGTACTCTATTCCATTAACTTGCACACCTCGCCTAAGCCATTTGTATTCGATTTCCATAACATATTTGTGTTCGTGGTATTCCGTGAACTATACTTCCTGACCTCGTGCACTTAGCTAGGATTTGTTTGTAAACAACTTATTACATATGCTATTTAATTAAGGTCTATATCACCCTTTCCTTGTGCATTAATCGAGTTTTTCTCTTCTCTTTTTCCCTCTCCCTATCTCAAGTGATTGGCTGTTGTTTGATATCCCCGGTGTGGCTGCGCTTGATGTGCATGTTGACAAGGTGCCTACCTGTCTATTACCCACTACCTCGTCCATACTGGCTCCAGTAGACAGTTGATCGTTGCTGGAGGGGACGGGATGCACGGTCCTTGTGGCCGTGCTAGGCTCGAAGAGAGGTTCCATGCAGTCAGTGTGGAGCGGACTACGGTCCAGCCATCTCCTTGTGTGTGCTTGATTTCCCAAATACAGCGTGCTTGTGTTTGCCTGTGAAGGAGTGTGGGCCGACTCCGTTGATGAGACGTGGCTCCCATCCACATGCCTCCCGGTCTTATTCCTTCGATTTTTCACTGGATATGGGGTATGTGGTTGGAGCTGTGGGTGGTGCAGCGCAAGCCACCCATGGTCCCTCTGTAGGCGCAGGCGTCCTGTGGCTTGCCACAGTGACAGGCAAATCCGAAACCAGATGCCGCCAACCATATATGTCGTGAAGGCAAGTAACCGTGGGGCATAGAGTGGGTAAACAAATAGTTGGTAGGAGTCCAGTGTTAGAAAGCGTCATACTGCATCTTGCGAACTGCTTGGTAAATTTACCGCTTACACGGTTCAATTTGAAGCGGACTTCGGTCAATGCAGTCACTGGCACGGCATGTGAGGCACTCATCGCTTGTCTGACCCTTCGTTCTAATCGATGCAACTGGGTATCCCACGCCCGTCCACTCACTAATCCTTGGATCCTTGCACATGCATCACCGCTTTTGATTGGTTCTGTCGATACGTCCGGCAAGTTGGTTCTTTCATGTGCTGTGATGCGTGAACTGTGATCATCGCCTAACACACTTGTCCAGTAGCTGACTATATGGGTTATGCAGAGTATCCATCTGAACACTCGGGACTAAATCTCACAATCACACACTACCACGTCTTGAAAGAACTCGCCGACGCAGCTGCTTGGGAATTCTCAAACAAAAGTCTCCTTGACAATGTTCGGGCAGAGTTCGTTAATAGATTCAGTGACATCGTCAACAGAGCATCAGAGACCAAGCCCCTTCGTCCCGCAAAAATACATTCAATGCTAAGGAGCAGGACTCGAAAATGCCTGGCGATAAGGGATGCAGCATGGCGTTCTTACAAGATTAACCCCGACTCAGAGACTTGGGGAAATTTCCTACCCCATAGCAACAGTTCCACTGCACATGTTGGTGAGGTCAAAGTAACTTATGAACAGTGTCTAGCCAAAAAGTTCATGACAAACAACAAACGGTTATATCAGCATGTCAATAAGCTTCGTAAAGTGAAGCATTGAATCCCTCCACTTTCCACGACAGGCGGTAGAGTACAAAGCGCCGAAGAAGCAGCTAATGCCCTGCGGCTACAACACGCCCCAATTTTCGAACTCGCAACCTCTACGTGTCCCATAATATCAAGCACATTACCGATTCCATTGTTTACACATGTAATTTTCAACCTATCAATTGTGCTAAGGAAGTTACTCTCACTGCATGAGCATAGTTCTCCAGGAGCAGACAACATCCGCCCGAAGGCACTGAAGGCTTTGGCCAACAAGCCAGCTGAACCACTGTCACAGTTCTTCCAAAAGTGCTTTGATGAACAACAAGTCCCCACTATGTGGAAGTGTGGCATTCTCACCCCTATTATTAAAAGCGGTGGCCGTTCAGATCCTGCAAACTATCGTCCAGTGACTCTCCTCCCTGTGGTCGCGAAGGTGATGGAAGCAGTTGTAGCTGAGGCTTTAATGGACTACCTGCAAAAATACAACATTTTGGTACCGGAACAGCATGGCTTCCGTCAACACCGGTCATGCAACACCAACCTACTGATTGCACGAGGTAGTTGGACGGAAGTGGCCGATGATGGGGTCAGAGTCGACGTCATCTATCTGGACTTCTCCAAAGCTTTCGACCGCCGTGATCACCGCATCCTACTTCAAAGACTACAAAGTTACGGAATCGGAGATCATGTACTTGGTTGGATTAGCAGCTTCCTTCATCAACGGAATATTCAAGTACGTGTTAGGGGATCACTCTCTAAACCAATTGAGGTAGAATGTGGTGTTCCACAAGGCTCAGTGCTGGGACCGCGCTTATTCCTGGTGTTTATCAACGACCTGGCAAGAGTTATCTCCTCAAATTTCCTGCTTTTCGCCCATGACGTCAAGATATGGCTGGCGATTAGTAACAAGCCAGATCACCATCTACTCCAACATGATTTAGATTGCATTTACGAATGGTCAAAGAGGAACATGCTTCAATTGAACATAGGTAAGTGCAAGGTGATACATCTGCGTCACCAGCTGGTGAGCGCTTACAAGCTTGGAGACCACATCTTGGAGAAGGTCTCTCAGGAGCGTGACCTGGGTTTATTGATACAGGAAAATCTCGGGTGTTCAAAACAAGCAGAGAAGGCGACGAGAACCGGAAACCAACACTTCGGCCTTCTTCGCAGAGCCTTCGGTCCGTTTGAACCCTCAATATTTCCCCAAATGCTTAACGCCTACGTGCGACCTCACGTGGAATATGCTATTCAGGTGTGGCAGCCGTGGCAGAAACAGGATCTCGTTGCTCTCGAGACTCCTCAACGACGGGCAACCAATAATGTCAGCGGCCTCTTTCATCTGCCCTATCAGCTTAGACTGAAATCTCTAAGAATATACAGCAGTCGATATCGGCTTTTGCGTGGGGATCTCATAATTGTTTACCATATTCTGAAGAACCCAAACCACATTTGCCGTCCGCTGCTGAAATTGTAGCACAACACTAAACTAAGAGGTCACTCTCTGAAAGTAACAATTCAGTATAGCAGGCTTGAATGCCGTAGAAATTTCTTTTCCCTCCGTGTGTGCCAGCCTTGGAACGCCCTCCCTAATTATGTCGTCTCTGCTCCCAAACTGGCGATATTTACAAAACGAGTTGACGATGCATTGTCTCACTTACATTTCATTTTATGACTTGTTAGCCAGGAGCTACAAAACGCAATCAAACCGTGTCTTACCAAACTGCAAAACAATAGGCTTATGGATTTATGCTTTTAATACGCAAACATCTCCGCTATTCCACATAAGTCTATGGTGAGTCCACCACAACGCTTTTCACTTTATTATGCAATTGATTTTCGCAATAATTTCCATCCCACGGGACTTGTTAGGCAATGCTTTTTTACCCGTAATAAACCATTGTTCATTCTTGTTTCTTCTGGCACGACACGGTCACGGACTTGCTTAACCCTACAGTTTATCCTTCCGGCAAATTGATCAAAGCTTCGGTAACCAACTCACACTCGTCGCAAGGCAAAATTTTATTTCGTTCAGGTTACCTGGTCGCATTGATGACCTCGCACGCTATCTGTCAAATTGATCGGATTTCATCCTGATTATAAGCATACTGGGGTCCAACATGAATTCGTATATCTGTGACTGTCACTGTCTGTTAGTTTATGTTTACTCGGCTTACTTCGGGTTTTAAACTTCCTCGATATCATTCTCTTTTGGTGCGTAATGCATTGTTCGACCATTTATCCAGCACTCAAAATTGTGATTAGATAATGTATTCGTTTCCTCCCACCAACAACTCGTTTACGCGTATTTCACCACCTCCGGTTATTGTTGTGTCAGCTACATTTTTGTCGCTCCTGCGTTTGCATTGGTACCCTATTCGCTGGTCCTTTGCACATATTGCCTTGTTGTGTTTGTTGACCGTAACGCTTAGTTGTTCCTAAGTACACTGCAGGTGATTTACCGTCTTTTCTGCATTTCGCGATCATGCAACGTGAGCTTCATCTCAGTATGTTCACTACCTTTCTACCTCCTCCCTTTCGTTCGTAAGAGTTTCTCCTTGCTGTGTTGTTCTTTATATTCTACCTGGAGGCCTACTTCCTCCAGTTTTGCCATCTGACGTATCAACTACCTGTTCCACTTTAGAAGCCACACGCACCTCCTCAGAAAAGAAATGTGCTGGTTGCCACCTGCTTTCAAAGTAAATGGCCAGAAGCTATCCTATGCGGAGACGTAATTACAGGTGTTATCATAAAGTGGCTGCGGCATTTATTTGTAAGACATGGGCTGCCAGGAGAAATTCTTACTGATAATGGTAGTAACTAGTATGCCGAATTCCTTCGGGACAAATGCATTAAACACGCCAGAACGGCGCATTATAATCTCGTTGCTGATGGACTAGTCAAAAGGCTAAATGGCACTTTGAATGGGACTATACAAGCCATTCGGTTGTCTGAAGAGTTTTGGGAAGATGCATAGGCGTCAACTTTGGCTACATACAGAACCACACCGCATGCAGCAACGATCCAGACTCCATCAGAACTGATGCTGGAAAGAGTAATTCGAACCCAGTTGAATGCAGTCTGTAACTGAAAAAGCTGTTGACACTACTGAATGTACCGGGCGAGATACCAAGCTAAATACAGATGACTTGAAAGAACTTACCCTCCAGGAACCGTTGTTCATGTGAAACCGCCCAGTTCCCGGAAAGATAGCAATAAATTCAGACGTTCTACTTGGTGCGATCCGTGTGTACGCCAGGCATATGGAACACAAGTTAATGCAAGACGCTTGCATACGGCACTCTCTCAAACTACTTCCCTACGACGAACTGCATCTACGACAGCAACCGCACCAACAGCGGAAAGCCTACGACTGTCAAGCCGGATGCGTCGTCCTGTCCATCGTATGTTTTGATGGGTAACTCAAATTGATACCTGCTCCATAACGTAACTGTCTTGTGCTTGTAAACGATGAAACATTGACATTAATTGATTACATGGTAACAAACAGAGGGCGCGACAGTGTGGTGTTGCCAAATTACGCCCTACACTTGTGACTAGAGTTGTACTCGCCATGGATTCGTCACGATTCAGTACGTTCACTTATTAGTTATTGGACGAATGCATGTACTTGCTTCTGATTGGTCATGCTGTCTGGGATGAATGAATTAACTTGTAACCGATGTTACCCTGATACAATGTTCATATATTCGTTTGCTTTATTGAGTTATTGTTTTACTCCTACGGACGCAACATTAGTAAATGAGCCTTCGGTGTCATTCATCAAGTCTCGGTTGTACGATGTCCCTCACCTCTGATTATAGTTCTGTTACATCAAGCATGAGTTCTGCCCTACAAGGATGTCAATTGGTCTATGCTTTGAATCGGATTTGTTTTCCGACGAAATTATGCCCTGAAAAATTAATACGCTGTCTCCCTTGTGACCTACTACGGTTAAATGGCTGACGCATATCGCATGCGTTGTGGCCACGACTTCGTTGAGCGTATCCGTCATCCCTGTGTCCCGCTCTTGCACTTGAACTGCGATCAACTGCTATTGTCCGACCATACGAAATCCGCGCGCACAAGAATTTATCCGTCTTACAGGTATACGTCAGCTGGTCACTACAGATAAAGGAGCACTGAATTTGAATGGATTCTAAAACACCATGACCTCACATTCACATCCGGCTTCGTTGTTGCCCATCGGTTTTCTTATGTGCAACCGGGTTTGTGTGAAAGGGAGGCAGGTCTATGCAACGCAAGCACCATGTGATTTTGATATGCAACGTTCAGGCTTTATTTATGTTCAATTGGGGTTTTTCATTGACACCAGACACATCATCGTGGAATGCACCAGAACTAGAGGTTAGGATGTTTTGGAAAAGCTATCATTCGTATTTCACCCCAACTGCTGGCCAACCTTGCTCTGTAAAGATAGGCGACTGAGTAGGGGGAAAAAGTCAAAACTCACTTCACCGACCATATCGATTTTTCGAAATTCCGGAGCTCCACTGACCTCTGTTTTTCCACTCTCTATATCCTTCCATCGGGCGCGTGTTTTGCTCGCTTCCTCGGCCACCGATTGTACTTCTTCACTGAGGGGCTTCGGTTTCGATTTGCCTTCCTCTTCTTCCTACAGATGTGCAAATAGTTTGAAAAGCTCTTTACCCAACTAGATATATGAGCAACTGAGTTGGGAAACTTCTTGAATCACATGATCAAAATCATTCTTGTAATCGTCCCCTTTATGGTAAAATCAACGGGTAGCTCGTCACCCGGAGAGTTGTGAGCAGTGCTTCAAGCACAGGCTAACGAAAGCCTATAGGCGTTTTTACATCAGTGATGATATTCGGCCTTCGATGGCTTGAATTCAACAGTCAACAAAGCATTTGGCTAGGGACCATCTGTAATGTGCCGAATAACCACCGGACATACTGGTAATCTTTATTGTTTAACCAAATTGTCTCATGTATTGTGATCAACCCGTGCAAGTTGGTCAGCGTACTCTCGAACGGTGTGACTTGTTTGTCCTATTTTTCTATTCTTTTGGATACCAGAAGTTGATCGAGTTATCGTCTCAATTCAGAGTACATATTTACACCTTTAATCACTCAGTATATGTTTGAATGCATTTTTGTATTGTCTATCTAGGTAAATACACTGGGGCACAGTACAGCTTCCTATCTCCACTACCAATTTCGCCTCGATTCTTGAAGAACATGATCGTATTCAAATGTTTTTTGTCTAAACTCCCCTTAACGATCGACAAACCAACGACTTACAGAATTATGTTCTATCTGCTCAGTTTAGCACCTGAGCGCTGAGTGAGGGCGCGAATAAGGGGACAGTTACTAGATCACCTTTGCGAACGCAAGTTAGGGATTAAAGGACCACAGAGAGGTAAACTTCACCTTCTCACACTTTCTTAACATTACCTGTAGCTTGAATTGAGTCCCCACGAGGTAAACGATTAGCATGGAAAACAACTCAACGCTTGTTTGTATCGGAAAAACCGATGCAGCTCTTCCGAGCTGTGCTTTAAGTAATCCTCACTTTAAGTGCAACAGCCCTTATTGAAGTCTTAAGAGATGTAAACTTATTTCTGGTTGCACGACTGAACAAACAATCTTGCAACTGATCTTTGCTTCCGGAAATTCTAAAGACAGTTTGAGTACTGTCGTTGGTCGATTTTATCCAGCTGTTGAAGAATTAGCCACAAGGTGGGCTTGTCCAACATTCTACGGAAGATTGAAACAGGAAAATGTCTCCAAACCATTTTTGTTCGTCGTAATCAGCCGACAATTCAGATAAGTCAACTAGCTATCCGGAAAAGCACCAGACGGCCGTTTCGCTCTATTGGGGCTCATCAGTGGTGCGCATCCTTCGGTCATCTGCGGAGGATCGAACCCATGACTGCTAGTGGCTCTTGCCAACTAGCCCGCAGCTTATGCAACTGCGCCATGGAGGATGGGATCCGACCATCACGAACTGTTAGCTAAATGCGATATAGCCCTATCCATCCTCCACTACCATGCAGGTGCCCTTACGGATTCCACAAAATGCTATGTCGATTCATAGCTGCCGTAACCGGGAAGTCCTGACACCGGAAGGCTAACCGCTGTCATCTGCATGGCAGGTGCCTGCATGGCAGTGGAGGATGGGTCGGGCTATATCGCATTTAGGTAACAATTCGTGATGGTCGGATACCGTCCTCCATGGCGCAGTTGCATAAGCTGCGGGCTAGTTGGCAAGAGCCACTAGCAGTCATGGGTTCGATCCTCCGCAGAGGACCGAAGGATGCGCGCCACTGATGAGCCCCAATAGAGCGAAACGGCCATCTGGTGCTTTTCCGGATAGCTAGTTGACTTATCTGAATTGTCGGCTGATTGCGACGAACAAAAATACTCACCAAAATCCTTCCACTCATAAGTGTCCAAACTATGTCCAGGCGCGGAATCCCTTAAGGTAAGCATTGTAGTGCATCAACCGAGCACTTGCCTGCTTACTGATGCTTGTGTTGACACCCGGATATTCCCTCCGACGTTGTTTTACCCAGACAACCACAGTATGCATATATACCTTGAGGTGTGGATCTAATGCGCTTTCACTCACGCTATGATCAACGCAGTATTGGACAAACACTCTGCTCCGACAGTTCAAACTGACTCGAAGGCGGTTGTGAAGCACTACTACGAGTGAACAACGCCAAAAGCTGTTCGACTTTGTGTATACGGCATCACTCGTTGAACTATAAACCACTGTTTGTGTCGAGACATACTTTATCCATGGTAGAGCACAGCGAATACCTGTGCTTGATTCATATCGGGGTTATTAGCTCATCTATGCTACAACCGTTGCTCGAGAGCTCTTGAGACTGCAAAACCGATACTTTCAGCCGGAATCTTTACGATGAGTGGTTTGAACCTCAGTCTGGCTTCCTCCGCCTGAGTTGAAATATTAGAAACTAGTGGCCTATAGTACTGACAACGGATAACACGGAACCTGCCCGCTTCGATGATCGCCGAGTTAGCGGTGGACTGGACTGCCAACTTCCTCTGTTTGATCCAGATGGAGTCATCTGTCTCGATATCGTGATGTGCTACTGATTAACAGTATGAATTTTACAGCATTTCGCCAAATAGGCTGGCAGCCACCGATGAGATAACGACGTTCCCCACTCGTTTACCTGCAACGGGTGAACTTGAGGCGGAAACCGAAGCCGGGTACTAACTAACTGTGACCCTTCTACTCAAGTAAACTTTATTGTAACCTGTCAAGGTTAGTTGACTTTATGGCCTGAGAATCTCATCGTCTTTTGTTCACGTCAAACCAATTCACACTACCAGTGTGGATGATAGAGCAAACTTGTGATCAATTTCTGAGGAATAAAGAGAAACTACACTTTTTCGTTAAGCAGTGTTTGTTATTGATGAAAATTTCATCAGTTTGTTCACCGAAAATGGATCCGAGACATATCGGGTACTTTAGTGCACTGACGTGCCTGTGAGTGCGCTCACACTGGAAAGCTTCTATAAATCATAAGATGACGTTTAATTTGCTATCAACCTATCTTTTAGCACCGTCCCTCTACCCCATCTCGTTGTTGATAGAGCTGGTGCCTTCAGTAGAAACAGTCTCATACCAACTTTGATTCGTGTGCCTTAGCCTGATTGCTGTAATAGTTACAGTTTGGTTATGGTACCGCCTTCAGTGCATCACATAGTTTTGATCCTGAATGCACCTCGCCACGTGATTTAACTATACCGCAGCCATTTCGCCACCCTGTTGAAACTTCCTGATGCGCTCACGGGTAACAGAGCCACACAGATCGAGGGCTGCTGTATACACTCCAACTTTGTCTTGGCAGTAGCCATGTCGGATCCACAGTCACTACGTGACTGCTGAAGATGAACAGGGTTAACCAAAAGTATCCTATCTGTCTCCACAACTGCTCCATCTGCGATTGTCAAGCTGCGCGCACACGGGTTTGTCTGCGCTACCGGTACATTTCCCGGTTGGCATGGACAATCTCGTTTGAACGCAACCTACTCATTCAATTCAAGACATCCTACCACTGTCTGATGAGGGTGCTCATAATTATAAATGAGCGGTTTGTGTGAAATACTTGTTACCGATGGAATTCATGCCAACTAAACTTCGGTATATGGTTAGTTCATTGACGTGTGCCACGAGAGGCGGATGGAATGTCCTCCGGTAACGAGTTTCAAAAGATGAAACAGCCATCCATTGCTTCTCCGAACGTCGAGGTCTATCTGACTGGGTGCAATTCTGCTGAGTTCCACTTATCCATAATCTACCATCATAAGTGTCTGGCGCAAATGCCGGAAAGCAGATGATTGATGAACTAGTTGTCAAAGTGATACACAGTTAATTTGCCATTTAACTTAAACGCAAATTGGTTCGATTTTGTGTTCATATGAAAGCTTTTGGGTGTATCATGTTGAATTATTCTCAGAGCGGTACTCGCTGCATAGTTGAACGCAAGGTAGGAGAAGATTAGCTAATTGGCTGAACAACTGCTGCGGCTGTGCTGATGAATAGACAGGGATGTTTCTGATTACCGGTTACCGCCGGAATATCAAAAATTGCCAGGTAGTGCTTCTATGCGCAGTGCGTGTAAGATTATGAAACCTTCCTCAAGTCTCCGGAAAGTCGATAAACCGACATCAAAGAGCGATAAACAGAAATTTCATAAACCAACCTGACCACCGGTCTCTTCCAAATGCTTGAATTTTGCTTTCAGATTTTTGGTTGTTTCGCCGATCACACTGAAATCGACTGGTTCCAATGTGTCGTCAGCCGTCACCACGTCGGGGGCCCTGGGTTGTGGCTTGCTCTCCAACACACCGACCGCCACGCCTTCCGGCGGCGGCGTTATTTGCTTTGGCCCTCTGGGACCATTCGCCGTCTCCACAGCCGTTTTGGTGGCGTTCTCAATGAACTTATTTTTCACCGATTCTGCCCCGGCATACTTGATTTTTGGGACACCTTTCTTCTTTACCTTTTTCTCACCGGCTTCTCCTTTCTCAAACTTATCTCTCAAGTTACCCATCCGTTGGGCGCCCATTGTCGATGTTCGCCGTTCTGGGCTGGTACCTTCCTTGGACTGCTTCTTGACGTCTGCGATGAAATATGCAAGAGGGACAGAAGGAAAGGATAGATCATATCATGTATATTTTTGGAACGCAACACCCGTTCCTCTTAAGTGGGGTTTACCAAACGCCTTTCCGTTACAGCTTGCTCTGGGGGTTTAACCTCATGAAATAATAAGAGTCGGATACGCTAGGAAGCAAACACCACACGACTGCACATGCTGTGGTCTGCCATTCGCGGTCCATGCCATTAGAGTGCATGTTCGCCGCATGAGGAGATCCCGGAAGGGATCGTCTAGATGCTGTGTTTTGTTTGGAGATTATATTACTATCAACTTGTCAGTAGTAAGCGTTTATGCGATTTTCTACAGTCAATCGGATTTACCGAATGTCTGTGCTACATTAACACAAGATGCGATGCTCCCTTACCGATACCTTGACTAAAAATGCTGCGGTGACGAGCCGGGAATTTCCGGAATGCGGTGTTTAACTCAGACCTGACCCGATTACGAAATGTAACACTTTAATCCCACAATATAAGATGAATTCATTTACTGGACGCTCTTCTCCTTAGTTCGGCAATGGTGTTTATCTGTCTGACGCCATCTCATTTCAGAATATTCATTTATATTCAGCTTGTTGTTATGGGTACGTTAAGCTCGGTGTGAGACAATAATTGACCGCTGACTGATTACTGTGGAAGAGTTGCATAGATAATCTGATCCCCCAGTTCATTTCAGCCCAACACTGAACGAGCAATCGCAAGGTACGGGGTGATTTGCATTGTGTTACTTTACCTTTCCACCCCGCCGCATAGCTAGATAAATGCGGAACAATTTGCGCACTGAATTGGACGCAACTTTTGTTGTACAACTTGAGTCGGGACCTTGGGATGAGGATTGTTTACTCTTATATAAACGTACGCTTCCACTGAATCTCAACTACACTTGCCCACGCGTAGCACGCACACATCCATGCGAACTCACATGTTTCACCATGCGGGCGCTTTTCCTTCCTTGAATTGCGCAGAACGGCTTATGTGAAAATTCGCATATATCGTCAGTCTCGGTATATAGTCGAGGTTGGACAATCTTCTATTCGCTAGGTAGTAAAAGTGCTCTACTGGAGACATGTCTTCCTTTTTCCTTCCTGCGTTCGTGTGCATCAACCATAAGAGTTTATTCGGCACATATGATAAACAGTCCGACAGGGCCGGGTGAACGAATACCAATCCGGCGTCGTTTCTAGCGTAGGGTGCACTGGAAAAACTTTCGCAGGTCTTTCGTTGATCGTCACTTAACGGTGTTAATTATGGTGCCAGCAATGTTTATTATAGACTTTAAATACCAAGCTTGATCTAGATACTTCCAACACAATAACTGGAACTAAAACACTGGAAACAGAAAACTTATGGGTTCCGTGTGGTGTGGTGATATACAGGCGCCCATAACCGTGTTTGCTAGTAACTGAAGTGCAAAAATGGACTTTATTTTGACAGAATAACACCATTATTTCGTCTGTAGCCGCTAATAGGCACTGAGTGGCATACTCAAAACACTGGGCATCACTGTCGTAGAAATTTGGTGAATCGAACATTTAATTCATCAGGTTTCGAATAACGACATTTTATTAAACAACTAAGATGTAGCCCGTTGTCCTCTGCTATTTTACCAACGACGTTGACAACAAGTGGAACAGCGTCTCAAACTGCCATTGAGTATTTGGGGGGGTTTCTTTTTCTGTGTTATCACTAATGTACTCGATAATACCTTCTTCCATTCATCAAATGACCATGATTTCACTGGAACAGTGAACTAAGGGTTACGTAACGCCGAAACCACCATTTTGACATTTGGGTGTAATATTTATCAATGTAGATTTGGTAGAGTGAAAGCCTGCTGCGGTCATTCTTTCCTGAGGGAGTTGCAGTTTGCGAGGACCCTATCTGTGATTCCAAGCAGAAATCGTTACAACGGCCAGTACGACATACAGTGAGGGCAAATTAGTATAGACGAATCTCAGCTGTACACGTGTGCTTGGAATCTGTTTACTAGCGCGCTACCCACAATGCTTATCGCGTGGACAGATTAATTAACATCTTCACTCAGCCTCGTTCCGCTATTCCAGCAAGGAGTGGGAATGTGATTGATCTACTGTAAAACGACGGCAGCCCACTTTCGGTGGTGCCACACGTCATCAACTGAAGTGATTAAGTGATTCGTGAAGAAGATAACTTAGTAACACTGTGCTGCTTCTCTCTATCTGGCAGCTCTCAAGCGCTATTACCCTCACGAATCGCTACGATCTGTACAGTGACCCGAGAGATGAGCAACCGCCAATAACCAATCCTCGCAAATTCTGAATCGGTCTGCATTTATCTCACGTTTGGGATGGATTTTATGCACTAAATTGGACCACTTTCGCTCTATGGCTATCCCCAAAGAGCTCCAAATTATTAGAACCCAGAAGCACCCACAAGCTCACCGTCAATCAATTACAATTGTTTGTCCACGGTAAATAAACCAACATTTAGCGAATTTGATTGCACTAGAAAACACGAGATCTGTACGAAGCTGGATATAAATGTAGCCGCTTGGATTTTCTGGCGAAGGCAGATAACCAGACAGGTGACTTTTGTTGTGTAATTCCATGGTGAACACAAAAGCAATGTTGGAACGGGGTGCCAGTTTATTTTCTGGGCAGCAGCTGTAGGAAGTTATCCATATATGATACATTGGAAAAAGAAGTGTTCGCAATCATTTTAGCCTGGGTAGCTTTAATCGGTTGTACTATCGTACGCTCCACTGCCTTTCAGAGTGTATCGACAAAACTACATCCGACCTCACAAACTCTAGGTCTCACGTTGTGTGCTTTTTTGCACAACCTAGCCACTTCCCCATTGTTAACAACGGTCGTTTTTGCTGCATTTCAACATGGCTCTTTCCATGATATTAATAGCTCGAAAAAGCGCCTTCCACTTAGTCACTCCATTGCTGACATCCGGCAATCATCATAAAATACACCCATGTTTGTAAGATCATCAATTACAGAGTGTTTTAGAAATTACGTCCGAAACTAGGAGCGACTGCGCTGACGTGCTAACGTACTCCGGCATGCTGAATTGCCAACTCTCCAAGGGCGCAAATTGCTTTGCTGAACGTGTCGGCAGTAGAGAGACTGGACATGTGTGTCTATGACTGCAGGTCAGATTAAGGGAACCGAAATCTTTCGGCTATGAGAAGTGTGTGTTAGCCAAACACCGAAGCCGCACTGGATGTGTCATACTTCGATCGATTGGTAGTCAGCTTTCATGCAGGTGAAAAGCCAGCAAAAGGGATCCCTGTAAAATGGCTAGTGGTTCGTTGTTCTTTCAATCGCCCTTTGGACTTCGGATGGACAGTTAATTCGGTCCACTGGGAAGTGACGAGTGAGTGAGCCGATCTGCAACACCAGGACAGTTACTGTGAACTCATCGGCAATACGTCGCGCACCAAGCAGAAGTCACGTGTTAAATTCCGCACCTAATCGTCAGCCCTCGGTGGTAGAGCAGCGGACCGGAATTTCGTGGACCGGGGTTCGATTCCCCGTCGAGGCAGATTTTCGTGTGGAGTTTAATCGTGACTTCTGCCTTCTGCGAAACTTACGTTACTCACAAACATCCTTAAATAAACAATTGAGAACAGCCTGGCCCTATGCAATGACCGATGGGCGCCGGTCGCTATCGCCATACATGTCAAAAGACAATCGCGACAAAAGCTGTTAAAGCCTCACGACTGGCTTCTAGCAAACTCGGTAGCTTTCATTAGACTGCTTTCGCTGCTAAGGGGAATCATACCGCCAGAAGCACTTACTAAGATTACAATCTTGTTCGTTTTACCGTTTCGATCGCGTGTGTGTTACAACTGAAAATTCAAACTTCATGGGTGGCTAAAAGCGAATACTTGACTTGACAATACTTAGATTATAGTCTGCCCCGACGCACTAGTGGCACCATTAGACAGCACACCAACTTATTCATGAGTTCAACTATTACCCTCAATCAGACAATTGCTTGTTATACAAGTTTATCATGCCTTCGACGGTGTTTCTCGTGTGCAATCGAGCATACACATTTATTTATTTATTTATTTACTTATACTTACATGAAATGTGTGAGATGTCTGTAAATATCAACTAATTGGGTGTTCGAATTACCCTCTGTCGTTTTGGCTGCGGAGCAGGATTCGCCGAATTACGTTGGCGCGCACTTTCTGCAATGTCTCCAATGAAATCCGGCTACATTCCCTCATCATGTTCTCTATCAGTTCATCCAGGCTGTTTGGTTTTGTTCTATAAATACGTTTCAAGTATCACCATAGGAAAAAATTCATGGGATTCGGATCCGGTGACTGCGCAGGTCACTCTATCGATCCTCCGCCACCGATCCAACGTTCACTGAAAGTCTCGTTCAGGTAGGCACAAACCGATTGCGCCGAATGTGCAGGTGCGACATCCTGCTGCCACCTAACGTTATACACTAGCCCTTCCGACTGTAGCTGCGGAATAACACTGATCTGCAACATTCCCATCTACGAGGACGCTAATAAATGTCAGGCATTGGTACTGCTAAACAACAACCTACCGGACACACTCCTGTAAAAGAAAAAGAGCCCAATGCTTTTTCGACAAGTTAACCCAGTTCAGGCCATGAGCTTTGCACTACGTTGCACGCGTGAAGCGCTACATTGCCGTGGGTTAGTTGTTCCCCCAAATATGTTTGCGTATCTTCGCCATGAATACGGAAAATCGCCTCATCGGTGAACACGAGGAATGTACGTTCAGACTGTTTAAAAAACTAATGGGCGAATTCCAGGCGCTTCTGTGATTCGCATGTGTACAACACTTGCACCTTTGTGCACTGTACCCGCGGAACTTATTTTCCTTCAATATCCGATGTGCAGCCTACGGTGTAGTTTCACAATGTGGTGCGTTTTACCGAATGCTGAGATGACTCTTACTGCATATCTCTTGTATAACCGCACAAGCTGATACTTTATCCGTGACGGTGAGAGGCCGTCCGGTTTGTTTTATGGTGCAAACGCTGCCAGTTTCTGCAAATTCCTTCAACACGCGACGCACATACCACCCTTTAGTTGGCCGCGCAACGCAGTGCGTTGTGTTATAGCGTCCTGTGACTTCTGCTGCGTTGGACCCACACTCACCATCCAGCTGCACAATGACCACGCGCTGATGGACAGACACATTACGTGATTGCGGTTGCTGATACATCGACGACACGGGTGTAAGCTCCTGCTCCATTGCTAAAACAGCGAGCCACTAACCACCTCGCAAGGATCCCTTTTGCTGGCTTTTTCAGCTGCGTGAAAACCGACTACCAATCAATCAAAACCTGACACGTTCAGCGCGGTTTTAGTGTGTTCCTAACACTCACTTCTCGCAGCCGAATGGCCTTGGTTCCCTTGCTCTGACCTGCTATCGTAGACACACAGGTCTCCCCCTCATTGCGCCCATTTCCTTTTCCGTCTGCTCCCGTTTTACTGATCTTCCTGTCCTCCGGGTAACTACTGTATTCCGCCTCCCTACACCCTCCCCTCGAAGTTGCTGTTCTCTCGCGTGCCCCGTTCGCAGTAGGACGGCATTCATTCAGCGTTGTTGTACCCCGCTACTCAACTTTGAAGTTCTCTCCTTTCCGATCGAGTAAAGCGCGCTTCTTCCTGAACTTCCGTGCTCCTGGCCCTCCAAGTTCCGGGCGATCGTGATTTCTTATCTTGACTTGTCTCGTTTCCACTTGTTGGTCACGTACCTGGCATCGTAGTTGCGTTTATGCCTTGCTTTTCGAGATCTGGTTTCTCTTCTGGCGATTGCTTCCAAACGTTCACGATGTGTTGCTGGGATATCCCATTTTGCGTAAGAGTTATGAGTGTATTACGGGGGATTCTTGGTTGTTTGCCAAACTGTAACTCGAATGGCACAATTTTGGTGGTCGACTACTTGCTAGCTCTAGACGCGAGAAGTACCCAAGGCAATGCTTTCTCCCACTGCAACTTTGTAGAGTTTATCCAGTTCTTCATTGTTCGGTTAAACCGTTCAGTCAGTCCGTTGGTCTGCGGATGGCAGGTGACGTGCGTCGTCTCTGGATGTTCCACTTCTCAAATACTCTCTGAAACACCACCGACTCAAAACAGGGTCTTTGGTCGGGAACAACACACTATGGTATTCCACACCTTGCGGGTACATTGAATTCGAATGCCTGTGCCACTGTTTTCACTTGTTTGGTCCTTGATCAGCACGGCTTCTACCCATCGAGTGAAATGGTCAATCATCACTAGAATGTACCATTTTCCTGACCGACTGACCGGTGAGGACCTAAAATCGTCCACTCCCCAAAACTAGAAACCGTTGGTTGACCTGGATAGATCACATTGGTGGCCTTAGTG